CCGCGGGGGGCGGAATGCCCAGATGCCCCGCGGCCCTGCCGCGCGCGTCCTCCGGGGCGAGAAAAGCTGCTCCACATCTCCCTGGTCTTCCTGTAGTCAGCCGCTGGTCAGTTTCAGCAGCGGTTGAATCTGGACGCCAGTTCCGACTTACATACAGATTCAACTTAAGAACAAACCTACAGTCCCTATCTTGTACGTAACCCGGGGACTGCCTGTATATCGTAAAAATGAGAACAAAAGCAATTTTTCAGTAATAGTGTGCTGTAACACTTTGTTGTTTTGTGTCTGATTTTGCAAGCAAGTAGTTTAAGTACAGTGAAAGTTGGGGGTACGCAGCCAGTTCCGACTTACATACAGATTCAACTTAAGAACAAACCTACAGTCCCTATCTTGTACGTAACCCGGGGACTGCCTGTATATCGTAAAAATGAGAACAAAAGCAATTTTTCAGTAATAGTGTGCTGTAACACTTTGTTGTTTTGTGTCTGATTTTGCAAGCAAGTAGTTTAAGTACAGTGAAAGTTGGGGGTACGCAAGACAAATCAGGCTCCTGAAAGGTGTACAATACAGAGAAAGGTTGAGAACCACTGATCTATTGTGTACTGCAGTGTTGTAGCCATATTGGTTCCAAGATATAAGAGAGTATTACTTGATGGACCCTGTATATGGAAGGAATCGTTTGACATTTCTATAATTACACATATTTTTCATTTGTTTTACATTACTTCATATATTTTAATTGCCTAACAAAAAGCCAATGTTGGACAAGCACACGGTTAAATAAAAGTGAGCCTAAAGTGACAGGAAGTCCTTCATATGTTGTTTGTTTGTTTTGCTTTGCTTTTTAATAATCACTGCCATATCACACAGAGAACACATACTCTGAAAATTGTACAAAATCCAAAGCTGGAGAATATATATTTTCTGCTAATAATTCTAAACAGGCACATTTAACTACATCTCAAACATTTACTACCTTACAGCTAAAAACAGAGAAAAAAAAGTTCCTTTTGTGTTCTTATCATACATCAGAAGTATCACTAGTCTAGAATCATGGCTCACTTATTTTTACAATCGATCATGCTTATGCTGCTAAAACATGTCCTCATAAACACAAACACAAACACAAGAAAACAGCACTACAAATGTTTTCACCTACTCCTTCAAATGCAGTGATCATTTTAGGAAGTACCTTGATCCAAGTTATCCACAACCCAGAAAAATCTGTAATTACTTCTCTGTTATATTTTTATGCCACAAATAAATCGGGGCATACATTAATTCTAGCTCATTGGAAATTTTAAACAGAATATAAGAAATTCAAATAAACTACAATTTTAGGGATATAAAAACTCCCTTTGGCCCAATCTGCTTGACCTTTTAAAAATGTACAACAGAAAAAAGGTGCCTAATCAAAAAAGTTTAACTTCAGAATGGAGAAAAATCTCAGATGAAGGTAGGGATGTGAAGGACTAGTTGACTATCCAATAAGCAAATTCTTATCAGATACTTGACAGGCTCTCATGACCCCCTTGCTCTCTATTAGATAGAGGCAGCAAGTGAGGAGGGGGGAGGAGAAGAGTGGGTACTTCAAAGCATCAGCACCGCTTGAAGCCTGGGGCCAGACCCCCCAGCTCCAAACGGTGCTGCTGCTTTGAAACTTGGCGGGCAGCCTGGGGCCAACTAGGGTGTTCCCAGGCTGCACGCAGCATTTCAAAGCAGCAGCTGATCCTAGAGTCCCCAGCTGATCCTTGGCTCCGCTAAGGATGTTAGGTATCGAGTAATTTATTAGTCGAGTAGTCAATGTCAATGCCTTTCCATCGACTAGTCGATAAGCACTTCTGCATTCCTCCTTCCGCTGGGGCTCTTGTACATTTCAAAGGAGGAATGCAGAACTCCGCATGCAGCCTGGGGTCAACGGGAAGTCTCACTGATTCTGGGCTGCACGCAGGATTGCCAGCTTTGAAATATACAAGAGTTCCCAGTGGGGACTCTTGTGCATTTCAAAGCGGAAGCGCCCGCATGGAGCCTTGGATCAGCAGGGGACTCAGAGTCCCCCATGAACTCTAGGCTCCATTCTACGCTGCTGCTTTGAAATGCCATGCAGAGCCTGGGGTCGCCCCAGCATTTCAAAGGGTCAGCACTGCACAGGGCTGACCCCGAGATCCATGCAGTGTTGCTCCTTAAAGGGATCATCTGTGTAGCACTGCCCTTTTGAAACGCCACCTCAGTGTTTCAAAGCAGCAGCACCGCACGGAGCTTGGTATGGGTTTCGTGTGGTGCTGCTACTTTGAAGT